TTATTTTTTTTCTTCCTTCCTTTTCTTTTCTTTAACAAAAATTAATACCTTTTGAATAATAATATACATATAAAATTTTATACTGAATTTCTTTCTGATTATTTTTCAGGTAAGGAGTACAAAATTGCCCGAATTTTTCAAAGATTTTGACAAGTGTGAAAATAAATATCTAAAGAGAATAAAGGATAGACAGAATGAAGATGTGCAATCATTTTGATCCATGAAGAGATACCGATTACACAAAAATGTAATCTTCACCAGTCACCTAGAGTAAAATTAACGAATAAAATACAGTAGTCAAACACAATTAAATTACAAAACAGTGATTGATAAGCAATAAATCAAGAATATATTTTGTAACTCTATATCGTTAATAAATGTGAATATATCTGCCTTATACAAGATTGAAATTACAAGATACAACAAATTTCGCGGTTGTATAGGCATTATATCGTTTTGGATAGTTTCCATGAAGAAAAATCGAAATATACAATCAGGATAATTTTCCATGCAAGAGAACCGATGGGTACATGTTGGAAAATATTTCTTGCAATATTCCAGGAATATCACGTAAAATGATAGTGTTTCGCTTTATTATACTCACCAGGTATGTTCACGTATCGGTAACGATATCTTTATTATGAAGAATAATCCCTCACGATAATGAGGCTCTCTGGTAGAATAAAAAGAAAAGGAGAAAAAGGTCCATTGATAATGGTCCGACAAAATTAACCAATTGATCCATTTCACAGGAATCGACGTTTGCACCCGTGGTCGTTAATTTGCTAGGCTACAATAACAGTTACAACGAGCTTGTCCCTTTGCAAGAAGTATAATCATTCGAGATTTAAGCCGCGCGATAAACTTCATTTGCCAGCCTAAAGAGCAACGAGGTTAGTGTATAAAGAACAATAATGTCACAAAACGATCAGATCGAGCTTATAAATTACAGGGAATTCGGAAGCAATCAATTTTGCGCAGTGATCGTGAAATCTGATTTGATTTTGATCTGCCTACAAAAACACATTGCCTGCATATGCAAGGCGTGGACCACAATGTTGCAGGTATATAGATCATCGACGTCCTCACATATCCTCGGGCTGCAAAAATGACCACCAAAAAGGGCGCTCAACTTCTTTAAAGTGAGGCCGTTATTTATCACGACTGGCCGTTTCGATATCGAAACTTTGGATCCAATACACGGCGATCACAGAGCATCGACCATTTTGTTGCCCCGAACCAGTCCGAGGAAAAAAGGAAAAGAGAAGAAAAAAAAAAAATAACGTAGGAAGGCAATTAAGCCGGAAACACACAAGTGCTCGAAAAAAGTTAATGGAGACTATGTTCTCGAGATTGAAATTACGCGAGCACTCGGCGGCGACAACTCTGCAACTTTGTTGCCTCCGTGTAAATTTTAACTGAAATTAATTGCTCGAAACCTGAGTAAAATTAAATTTATCTTTTGAAATCACGTGAGCAATAAACGGTATTTTTCATTCTGTTCGGTATGTATATGCACTTAACATTGCCCAGTCGTCATTTATCACCACCTGGTGAAATCGAACAGCTTTTGCTGGAAATAAGGTGCTCTTAAACCGCCATATTTTTACGTTTCGTCGAATTAATCCTTAAATCGATACTATTGAGTAGCCAATTATATTGGAGCATAATTAAAATCGCGTGATTTCAAGTATAATTATCGCGAAGATATTTCATATTCACAATTAGTAATAAAAAAGTTGCACGATTCAAAGCGATTGCAATGTAAAATATAATTGGCATTGCCCATTTATCAGATTTACAAAAATTAGTTTTGAACACGGACTCATATTGAATCACTGAAACACTGCTTAACAATCAATCCATTGTTGAATAATTTTTCGAGCAGTCACGTTCTAAAATAAAAGTACCAAACGGTTGAACTTGATGGAAAATATAAAAAGCAATTATCTTGGATAAAAACGTTCCTCGACAAAAAATGCTGGCGAAACAAATTTGTTTTAATCAAAAGACGCATGAATTTCATTTCACGTTCACTTGCAACGTTTTAGAAGATCAATGGAACACGTAACAGAAAGGTGACGAAAGAAACGATAATAAAATTATTCCATAACATCTTAGAAACGTTCCCATGAATTTATGTCAATACATGAACATAGAATCATTAGGTAAACAAGAAATTAAGGAAATGTTAAAAGGAAAAAATGATCAAATTTACAAATTTTCACAGGGTTAATGATATCTGAATATACAATGTCAGTAGGTATTATTTACGATGTCAGTTAACGATCCGTAACCCGTTGAGATCAGCAGAAGATCCGATTTCATTGTGTTAACCCGTTTTGCTACATTGTGGATACGTACATCGAACACATGGAACCTGTGACAATGCACGCGTGTACATTGCGTAAGTACAACATGCACACGACTACCGGTATAGAAAAAGTTATACAATACAGCCGACGATTACAAGGACAACAGCTACTCAAATATCTTCAAAGGCTTTGTCAAAGATAAGATAAAAGGAAGAGGAAAAAGAAGGGTGTAACGTTAAAAGCGCCGATCGAGAGGACAATTCGCCAAAAAACGATACCTTAAGGAAGCCGTATCACAGCTGTTTTTATCCCTTGTATCATTTTGCTTCCTCTAACAATTCTTTTCTCTTTTTCCTTTTTTTTCTATCGTTCCTTTTTCGATATGCGCCTATCGTGAACCCGATCCTCTCGAAACGCGTGTTCCTTTTTACGAATTGCGTTACGCTGTTACGCAAGGATCGGGGTTCCGCATTACGCGAATAACTCGATGCACGCGTGCATCGATTGCAAGTTTCTTCACGCGAATTCCTTCACAGAAAATTAGAGCGCGGGAACTGATTTCGTCGGTGATGTTACAGGTTTTTGCACCAGGCTTACGAAAATTCCACGATATCCTAAGTAACCATTGTCACACGCCGGTATCCATTGTTTTCGTAATTAAATAGTCAATAATAGCCGAGCTTGGGCTAGTAATTGAACTGGGTGTCCCGGTACTACGATCTTCCGTGGAGCAAGATCGAAAGGTGGAAAAGGATCGTAAAAGCTGATGGTACGTAAATTTATGCTCGATGTCTATTCGACGCGGTGATTACCAAAAGGGATGGTGGACGGTGTCAAGCTGGATATAACATCGCGATGTCGATATAACGTTTCATGCAGTCATTTTTTTCAGCAAATGTGTCCGCCATTTATGGACGGTAGACCGTCGAGCGTACAATATCGTCGGCACAGTTGAATGGCAAGACTGTGAGAGCATCGGGAAAGAAGTGATTACCGAAAAAGGCTGATCTCGATGAACCGCTGCACCGTTACTGATTACATGAGATCCAACGTGCTCTTCATGGTAACAATGTATGATGTATTCATAAGGATGCACACCTACACAAGACGCAACGTCTGCACCAGCGTGCTCGTCTCTTGGTGTTGCTACACGCGGGCGGTGGCCCGAGCATGCACGTTGAAGAGTGTGGAACCGAAGAGAACGGGCTCGAGCATGGGGAGAGAAAGAGAAAGAGTTATATGCACGTACGACGTACGGTCACCCTGCGATCGACTCACGGGAGTAAAGGTTTTACTGATGGCATACCCCATACACGCAGAGAGGAGTATATATAGGCAGAGGTTCCCACACTGTAAACCATGATTTATTGGCCTGCCACCCGCCAGACCTGCTGTCATCATCGTTCCATGGTTGGTCCAAGATACAGCGAAGCGTACCGTATATAACTTCCCTTTCTGCACGATCTTCGCGCCATATCGACTCCTTCTTTCCTCGCACCCCGGCGAAACAGGAAGGCCTCGTTTGATGCGGCTCTACAACCGTCCATCTACCTTGTTTTACCTTATGCAGCCTGATATCTGCCGTTCTCGTCGCCATTTAATAATTACCTCTTTCTTATCTACGTCGCGAGCATTATCTCTACGTTGGTAGCACACTCGACTCGCCCCTTTTTCCCATTTTTTTTTATCCGCGACCAAGGACGCTCTTTATCGAACGGTACCTTTATTCCGACGTCGGTTTGCCTCTGGTAACGCGGCTAGTTGTTTCGTAGAAATCGCCTCGAATCCCCCCTTTCTTTTATTTTTTCCCTTCTCGGCCCGCTAATTGCGACGATGTCTCTCGTCGCAAACGCCGATACACATGGCGCGCTCGGTGCACCCAGCAGGGATGCTTATGACGTGAAAGTTTTACTTGTGTACTCAATTACGATACAGGTTTCAACGATTTCGTGCCATAGGTCGTTACTCTCCCGGTTTTCTTTGCATAGCTACATCGCAGGTGCACTATAAATTACGAAAGATAAACAATCGAACGCATAATCTAATCTTACAGACACGCTCGGACTACCCGTGTCTACCCTGCGGAAGCGAGACGAACGCCACCGTTCATGTTCTCCGGAAAGGTCAAGGTGGCCGAGAGGTGCAGATCGAGAGGAGCAGGGACGCAGTCCGAGCGTTAAAAGGGTAACCAAAGCCGTCCACCGGGCAACCCTCATGGACGCCGGTTGCTCGGACTTCCTGTTAATCTCGCTGGACAAATTGGCGGGGCCCCCGCGAGCCGTTTAGCTCTCCTAAAATTCCACGGAATCAGGGTCACCCACGTATACACGTGCTACGGCGCTTAGCACATGCACAGGCAAAACGTAACGAGTGTACGGTTTGGTCGCTCGTGGGGGACGAGGCAGGGTTGAGAGTAAGGGAAAGGAGGCAAGGACGAGGAGGGGAAGGAGGGTTCCTTCCAGAAGATGGGGCAAACACGAAGTCGCCTCGGTAGGAAGCGAAGAGGGGTTATTTCGTTTCGTCTCAGCGTGGTTTCCCAAGCGGCAGCCTCGCTCGCCGACTGGCATCGTCTACCGTTCGGCACACAGTCGAACTCGTTCGCCACTGGACGACGGACGTCGCGGCGTCGCCGTCGCCCTTCATCCGACTACATTTCACCGTAGCTGAGGAAAATCGGCCGCCAGGATGCGTCACGCGCTACCACTCGGCTTCATCCTCGTACTCGTGTCAGTGTTCGCGCGTCGGGCTACCGGTTGCGCTTTCTGCGAAAGGCTGTCGCAGCAACAGCTGCAGCTGCGCCAGCTACAGCAGTTGTCGCAACAACAACCGCAGCAGCAACAGGGGTACAAAACGATGGGAAGCCCGAGGCCTTTTGGTGCCGAGAAGCCGACCAGGGTGCAGGAGTTCAACAGGACCGGCGTGCTGCATCCCGAGTACCAGATACCAGCCACCCTTCGCCCCGGTAACGTATCTCAGTGAGTATCCGCCACCCTGTTCTCTTGTTTCGCGAGCTTCAGCCGTTGCAATTCTTATCCTTTGGAATTCTAATTTATCGCATATTACATTTCTTTGTTAATTCCCCATTTTCCTCAAATTTCTTTTTTTTCTTTTTTTTTCCTTTTCTCGCATTGATCTTTTGATAGATGAATTCGTCAAGTCTGAGGAGAGATAATTATTTTTCATTTTTGAAAGAAAAATAATATATATGTACTTAAGTAATCGTTGTATTTGAAATTATATTTGAATTCAAGGAAAACGAGTCGTAGATAAGCGTGTCACTGTCTCTCTGGAGATTAAGCGATTTTAGGGTAGTGATATACTTTGGTATTCTTTGATATTCGCTATTGTTAAACTGAAATTGTCTTTCAGTTTGAGAAAAACAGGAGAAACGAAAGGGGAACTTTACAGCGCCGATTATCCCTCTCGGTGTTTCTTTTTAATTTATCTAGCTAATTAAGTCATTTTAATTCACGGTTCTGGTGCGGTATTTATGCTGTAAACTGGTTATTTACAGGGCGATTAAACGGGTTTAAATTATGTATCTATCGCATTCTGTAAAATAGACAAATTACGACATTCGTAAACAGTGGAAGTAACGTTTTGTTATATTTCGCGGTGTTTTCCTTTCCAAATAGTATTCCATTTATTTCCGTTATGAGGAGAATTATTTTACACTGAAGTAACACGGATTACGTTACAATCCAATTCACTTGGAATGCCAAATCCTTTGGCCGGGCAATATAATAGAAACGTAGATACCCGTAGATTACATTACCGAGAACGTATTACACCTCTGACTATCGAGTATCGAGATACACTAGAATGACTAATGTATCTTAGAAACCACCGGTTCATCTATGCTACTATCGTTCGTACATGAAAGAACAATTGGCAACTTAAACCACGATTTATTATAACCAGGCATATTAAAGGAGAAATCACTCGTCTGAGACGTGTTCTATATCTTATTGGTAATAAAGGACCAAGAACAAGATAGAATCGGGTACATTAATCACGTGCAGTCGTGTTGTCGTTAGAATTTTTATTATGAATTGAATTGTCACTTGGGTGAGGCTAAACGTTGCATTTCAATCGTGAGGAACATCGGTAGGTTGCAGGTTTCTTTCTTCGTCCTTTTCCCCCTTTTTCTTTTTTCTCGACAAAGGCATACTTTGATCTAAAGATAAACGAATCGTAAGAAAGGTGCATTCACTTTTCGCCGAACCATAGAAACAATTCGTGCGAATTTCGTTTGGGTTACATAGCTTGTTTATTCGATGCACGTGTACCAAAGCCTATGGAGCTTTGAACGTTTATACGAGAACGTCACGAACCCCGTGCCGTGTTTCATCAACCGTAGCACAGATTTTACAAATGCAATTTGACTCGAATTACTTGGCGGATGATATAATTCTCATCGTATCGCATGGACTGCGGATCGAATGATTAAGATACCTTTCGTTAACGTGTGTATTAAAATTATGCTGGAAATTTTCGTTAGTTCATTCCCTGATCATATCTATTCTCCTTGCTTCTTTTCATTAATAATAGATGAGTATGAAAATGTTGTTATCTAGTACATTGATAACATTTATAATGATAAATTAGTTGATAATTAGTAGCTTGGTATAGTCAAATAAATTTTCAAATACGTATAATTTAAATACTGAATTATTCATTATAGTATTGGAAATTTTCTATAATTATCATAAATATTCTTATATTCTAATATCTAACTATGTAGAATCTTTATTGTAAACGCTGTTACCTTTAAATTCTTCTCTACGAAATTCGTTCTGTTTGTTTCGTGTAAAATTAACATAAGTAATACTTCAGCCACCTATAATTACTCCACAGTTCTAGTATTGTTATGTTAATGTGTTGTATTTAACATAACCAATATGTATGTGTACATATATGAACTTCATAAATTAATCAATCTTTATCTACTATTTCATAGGCAAAAAGATTGTAATTGGATAATTTATTCCTTTACGTTTGTGGAATATTTATTCTAAATATAAAGAAACAAGAAAAAATTAAAAGATTTCAAGAATATCCACTAATAATTGCATTTCTACAATTCTGGTTACTTTACCATCATTATTTATAGATCAATTTTAACGAATGTTCAGTATCAAAAATTGAATCTAATTATATACGTGAATTGTTACGTTAAAAGAAAAAGAATATTTTTTTGTCTCCCTTTTTAACTATATAATTGAAATAACCCAATAATTACAGTAAATGAATGATTTCATTAAAAATTACCTCCCTATTTTCACGTAACCTATTTCTTTCCCCATTTATTTCATTTATTATGGAAAATCCTTTGGAGGTCCACGAAGGGATAAAATTGATCCTTATGTACAATTCGAGTCGCGATATGTCGAGATCGTGAATTAAATCATCACGAAGCGGCATTGACTAATGTCGCCGAACTTAAGGCCATGCTCTATATTATATTTTGGGCTTCCATGTAATAAAAAAAAAATAGCTGCTCATATCTCACTGGTATTCCATCTACGATATACAAACTGAAATAATATTAATTAGCAATTAATAATTATTATTTCATAAATCGGAAAATTCAAAAAAGAAATCGTAACGTAAGTGTGAATTTTTGTTTCGATATACATACATATAATACAAAGTGCATTGACACTAGACACTTAAATATTTCTTAGTACGGTTTTGATATTCGCCTCAGGTCCTTATCTATATATATTTTTAACAATTCGTTTGTCTCAGCAACATTACATCGGAAACTTGTTTACTTTAACTCTTGGCAAATTTTACGATCTCGATTTATCGTAGTCCTTACTGTACACGCCTCCTCGTTGAGCCGTTATTGTCGTCAAATTCTACTTTGTTGCAATGGGTCCACGGCACTTAATGGTCCGATGCGTCGCGACGCTACGCGTCATAAAGTCCTGCTATCAGATGGTTTCCGCAAAACCCGTATGCAAGTCTAATTGCACAATTGCTCTGAACATTGAAACGCTAGGTTGCACCTTAAACTTGAACTTAACGTGTATTTTAACTTTTCGCCAGATGCCTTAACTGAACCGTGTACTTTTGTGCTTTCCTTTTTGTTGTTTCAACGATGTGCAAAATTGCAATCATTTTGAACGATGGAGAGTGTCTAAAGGAAGGTAAAACGATAAATTTTAATGTTTTGTAATGAAATAAATTATTGTGTACAATTGCATTTTACATATGCACGTACAGCAATAATTATATATAGATAATACGATTGTTTAAATTTATTGGAAAGAGAAAAATGGATTGTTTTCTGTAATTATTTATGGAAAATTCTAGTTTACGATTTATTAATTTAACCCTAGATCTTCTGGGAAGGAGGGGGTGCGTTGAACCCGTAGGTCGAAAGATTTAAAATTAGAACCATTTCCTTTGTACAAAAAATTCGTTAAAAATTATTTTTAATTTTCATATCCTGTGTACGAGAATATAAACCACATATTACATTATCGACAAATATAAATAATGAATTCTTATTGTCTTTCCAAAAATTAATATAATTCAAAAGAGAATAGAGTAAGAAATGTTCTGCAAGAAGTAACGAATAAAATGAATAAAAATCAATTTGAAAATAGAAGTTTGAATGTAGGTTTACATAAAAGTGCTATAAATACTATAACATTTATAAATGATTATAAATGGAAATAAGTTGAATATGAAAACACCTACTATTCTTTTAGTATTCTTAAGTAATCTAAAACTTTTAAAAAATAAAACTTTTTCCTCGATAAATATGCACAAATTGCTGATTCTAAGAACCTCCCCCTTAAGTTTTCGCATAACAACTGAACACCCAGAAGTCCTAAGGTTACCATTTACGTCTGAAACAATCATTATAAATCCTTATATCCTCTTCACATTAACCTTAGTTCTGGTCTTAAAATCAGACCTCTAACATCTATGATTTCTCTCATTTCGATTTCATTCATACTCCTAAAATGAAACAAAAATCATCAACAATAAAATAGTATCAAAATTTCCAATAAACCCACCGCAACATTCTTCCATTACAGCCAAAATCCTATAGAAAAAACAAAATCTTATCACAAGCTTTACGAATTACTCTCGGCGATATGATCCGTCTAATACGTGTAATCGTCGTTCATCATTGCAACGCGCATGCGCGACAGTTGGCAGGAATGTTTCGGCGGGACTATAGCCACGAAACGGGACACGAGACAGTAGGATCGTTCCTAAAGTAGATAACAGTAGATCCGTGTAGAAGCAACGAACAAGCATAAGGGGGTTCAGCGATCGCGATCAGCGCGCTACCTTTCTCGAGAACTCCATTCAGCCCGGGGTTCGTCGCCCGGTCTCTCTCTTTCGGTGTAGGTTAAAGCGAAAGGTCGCGACGCATCCTCGGAAGTGGGGTCTAAGCTGTGGCGCGCGCGAGAGGGCGTCGCGATGCCACGCGTTGTAGACTCTACTATTGGCGTGGATTTCCACGAAAGTCGGTAGACGGCCTCGCGTTGCGGCCCGAATGACAGAATCAATTCGAGTCTGTCGTGGGACAAACCGACCGCCAAAATTAGACGACGGGGGTCGTGGCTGCGCGACCCCAGACGCCGCGACGCCGACATTGTGTGTAGACGCTAATTTTACAATAGCCGTTTCAGTGCCAGGCCGTGAACGAAAAGCACGTGCGGCGTCCCGACGCTCTCTCGGACCACGCTAACGGGATGCGCCGCGGCAATGTTCGAAAGGATGACGGGAGATAGCGGACGGCTGGAGGGGGGAAGTAGGGACAGATCGCGCTGCGACGAAACAGTGCAGGGGCGGGAGGGAAACAGTGACGGCTATGCCGAGGCGTAAACTTAACTGGTACGATCTTTAAAGGGGGACTTTTGTACGATCAAACATTATGACTAAATATAAACGGCACGCTGCATTTGTACTCTCGATATCCATTTACGTACATATGCTTGTACGTGTTTGTATTGAAGATTATTGTTAGGATCCATTGATACAGTATACTTATTTTATTGTTTTTTGAATTTTAGAAGACCGTTTTCTAACCTCTTTACGATATGTATCTGGATGATTGTTGGAGTTTGATGATCTTTCGAATGAAGATTGTTATAGTTGAAGAGTTTATGTAAGAAAATGATCCTTATCAATTTTATTGATAATTGTTCATCCTTTACAAAATTTTGGAAAGATATGGTATATTTTTCAATTAATATTTAAATAATTATAAAATTTTCCACGTGGTTACAAAATCATACAAAATATCGAATATCTGATATCTTTATATAACTCGAATGCGAAAAAATGTTTAAAAAACTAAAAAAAATTCTTATTTTATAAAACCAGTTCTTTATATAGCATAATTACGTACGATGTCTCGTTTAATTAAAATATTGCTTCTGTGTCTGGCTACGTTTAATACGTATCGAACATTAATATCATACTGGATGCAGATAAAATTATTGCAGGTTTTATTACCTGAGTCCACGCGAAGGGCCACCTCTCACGTTACTCGTTAGCCCTTGTAGCGGGCCAATATCATGGACGGTCAGTTACGTCGAGCCACCGGAAAACGTTGAAGAAGCGGAAGGAACAAAATGTACGCAGAATCGTAGGAATCATTCAATTCGATTGATTTGAATTGAAAGAATCTATTACACTTTACTTTTAAACTAACAAAAATATCACACTAATTTTGTTTTCTTTTATAGAGATAATTGATGGAGAAAAATATTATATACTTTACGATAGTTTGATATTTAAAAAATTTACTTTGATCGGTCTTTAAATTAAACCAATAATTTTTTCTCTCTTTTTCTGGCTCTCTTTCTCTCTATATAATAAATTTATAATAGAAGTTAATTAAAATGGGACACGAAGATAAAGTATTATGATCCATACAGCAGCGCAAACACGGTGGCCAGTGAAGAGTTTGAAGCCAGGCTCACCCTTATTCGCGTACGAGGGTGCGGAGGATCAGAATTTTACGATATCAAAGACACGCGCCGGTCTTTATTGGTTCGAAATTAAATCCGTGAACCCTCCTGATGCCAATTTGCAAAAATTGACACCAAGCACGGTGCTTCTGTATGCCACGTCGAGCAGCTTGAGCCATATACCGGAATTGTATGCGAATGAGAGGGAAAATCGTCATCGTTCATTGAGATTTCAACAACGAAGAAGTAAACGTCGACTTACGATATCTTGGAATAAAAGGTTGGTAATTCTCTGTTCTTTTACATATAATTATGTTACTTAAAATCTGAGATCCGAATATTTAGTAGCAATTATAAATTTAATTGTTTTGGCTGAATGTTTTTACTTCATAAATGGTAATTTTAATATATTTCAGAGACATTTAAAAAATTCAATCTTGTACCAAATCTTAATACAAGTAAATCTGTCAGCACATCATCAATGAATCTTGTTACAGATATGTCAGGCAAAAGTGCCTTACTCTAAAATGTTGTGTCTGACGCTTTTTAAAGAACAAGGACAAGTATATAATATCTGCGTTTCGAAAACGTAGTAAAAATAAATTGAAATGAATTAAGCGAATTCCAAGCATTAGATACAAGAGTACTTTGAAGCTCATAAACCAATTTTTGTTTCTCTACACGTATATCAAATTTATTTAAAAGCCTTCACGTAATGTACGCAATAGAAAAAGAAAAAGACACAACTTTCTCATATAAACGAATTAAACAAGTTTATCTTTCAACAATTATTGCCCTCAAGATTTATTTCAATACCATAATACTTTATTTCATCGTCACATAATATAATCATGAATATAATCGACAAATTTAACATAATATGATAAAGAAGAACAAGATATTTTTCCTTGATCCACTGAAAAGATTGTCAAACTTACAAACGTCTCGGCGAATTAAAGTAGGCTTGTGTCACACGCCACGAATTCGAGAAAAATCCGTTTATTTTTACAGCAACATAAATCCCCATCTCTCGCACTACTGTTTAGCCGTGACATCAGGGTCTCAGCCACATCCCTTGACCCTTTGCGCTGCGCAAAGCCTTCTACGCGTTCACCCGCATCCGACAAAAGGGGGTTCTTCTAAGGAACAGCAGCACCGCGGCATTCCGGAAGGACTTCATTGCGTACGTCAAACAAAATTGACGCTCCACAGGATGAAGTACGATACCACGTACAATTTTACTTTATACGTGGTTAGTAATCGCAGCTAGAGAGGGCCTAATCCTATGATAATACTTGTATCTTGAAGTAAATGGGAGTAGACTATTTTTGTTCCAAAGAAGATGAAGATATTGGTCAGTCGAGAAATGAAGTATTAAGTTTCTTTGGAAATTCTTATTTCTAAGTGACTATTTTTTAGAAATACTTTTCGTCCTTTGTTTTTAATACAGTCATTCATTTTTGCAAGTGTATATCTGTACATTTTGGTAAAAGAAAAATGATTATAGTTTTATTTGTTCCGTATTAGGTAAATACGAGGAATAACGTGTCGAATCGGATAGCAACTGATACTATAAAATTCCGGAAAACGCCGGAATTGAGGCTACGCACTGGACATTATACCACAGCTAATTTACGTAAAACCGATGGATTCATCAACTTCCGTTACCGACCCCCGGAAAATGCCTCGAGTACCTTTCATATTCTTCCTTGCGGTGGCGGCATCGTTAGAGCAAAATTAAGTGGCCCAGGAATTTTGAGGGTAACAGACCTTCCTAATCCCGTTCCAGTTATGACTAATATTCACAGATCCTCATCAGGCGAATGATAAAATATTATTTCAGAAAACCATTTAAGTAGAAATATCTGAACTAAATATCAAGTATTGAACAATAATATTGGAATAACAAGCTTTGGAAGTACATGAAAATTCCTAAATTTTTTAAATCACATAAATTATAAATTAAATTTTTAATACTTGGAATAACAAGCTTTGGAAGTACATGAAAATTCCTAAATTTTTTAAATCACATAAATTATAAAATTCTTGATAATTTCAAAAATTTAATCAAACAGAATTGTTTCGAAAGAGAATAAGATAGGGAATGGGAAAAATTGCAATATACATGAGCGAAATGATTTCATGAGAATCACGTGAAAATTTAGTTATGTTTTATGTACTATTTTATTTTTATAGTAATGCAAAAGACATCTAGTATCTTGTAATCAATTTTTATTCAGTTTACATAATTATCCGCACAATTTATAAATAATTACCTCATTTGAACGCTGTAATGAAACTAGTCATATAATTTTTATCCTGAACAGCATAATTATAATTCTATCAAATTGTTTATAGATTCGTAAATATAACCAAATTATCTATCTAACAAATGTATCTACTTTTTCATTAAGTACGATTTAAAGTACAATGAAAAATAGTTGATACAATTATCGATATTACAGACAATTTACATTTGCAGGAAAAGGAGGTAGTAGGATACGCATCATTAAGGGTACCACCTTTAACTTCAGGGAAGACATACACATTACGGATATCCGCTACACCACAGGAATTAATACGAGTATCCGCCATTAAAGTGCTAGCTACCCAAGAATCGTCTGCGATATATCCACAGGTATGTTCATACAAATTAATATATACTGAGTAATATAGAAAGCGTATCTTTGTTTTCCGTGTACGCTAAAAATTTAATATAATCAAAACAAGTAGTTAAATATTTTCTGTTTTGTAACAATGGCTAATAACTTTAATTTGAAATATTTCATTTGAAATAGAACATATTTGACATTTTCTAAGGACAAATAAAAATAATTTGGTAGCGAACTCCAAGTTTTAATGTTTAACACCTAACGTTTTTACTAATCTTCAACGAATTAACTCACATTTGAATATTTTAAATTGCTAATAATTTCTTGCTGAAAAATTATTCGTCAATATACAAGTTCTTACTTGCTTTCCCATTTCTGCTGCAGCTTACCTAACACGCATCTAATATCCATGTTAAGAAACAACAAATAAAATGATCAAAAACTCCACAAGTGTATTATTTATGCACATGGACGAAAATAATTCTTATTTAATTATTCATGTCATGAATAAGCTTTATCCGCTGCTTTTAACAACTATTTAGCATGAACGCGTATATGAAAGACTAGTCTCTAAAAAAAGGCACTGTCACTAATCAACTTTATTTTTCATGATCGTTCATTAATCGTCGTGTAAATAGAATAATTAAATAAATTATCGGAAAATATTTCGTTCCTAAGAACAGTGATTGTAGAAAACGTATAAAGGTGTGATCATATGAGACGAAATAAAATGTCAAAACTCTACTCCGAAAATAAAAGATAGTTCACTGGAACTAAATTATCCTCCAAGCTTCTTCTTCGTTCACATTTTTACAAATAAATAGAATTATATCCCGTCAAGCTCAATTTAACAAAAAATTCTGCATATACAAGATTACCAAGAACTTAAACGAAATGGTAGCAAAGCTCCAAGCCTTTTCCCCCGAAAATATTTTGCACATAGAAATAAAAATATACGAAAGAAGTACACTTTCAAACATCAAGCTTTGCATACTAGAAATTAACAAAGAAATGAACCGTTCGTCATCCTAATCATTTCAACGTCGCTAGGAGCCAAAAATAAGATCGATACACCGCCATGACGTCTTGCGCCTAAATGAACCCTCGGAATTGTAAAAATAAAGGTAATGAGATACACTGGCAGAAAGGCTGAACATTCTGTTTAGATTCCATCCAGAAGTGCACCACGCGAGTACAGATCCCTAAGAACATGCCATGAGGTGACCGTAGGGGTAGAGCCTGCAGGCTCCGCGAAGTATTGCATCCTCGTAAGGGAATTAAAGGGCAGCACGGCGTTGGCCAGCGTGACGACGATCCCTGATCAGTGTAGTCTTCATCGTCGACGCCGTTCCGAGTACACGTTCGAGGTTTGCGAAGAGAAGCAGAGTCCGCCGAAAGATCGGGCACTTCCGTTCACCCTCAAGAGGCTACAGCCAGGGAAGGCTTATATCTTGCAAATCACGGCACAGTTGAAAGGTCAATCATTGTCCTATCCGCTGCTGACTGTACGCACCCGACGTTCCTGTCTACCTTGATAATAATTCGAAGAAAATAGGAATAATCAATGGCGATCATCGTGAAATCGAACAACTTCGAATCGCTTTAATTGTTACTCGGTTTAGAACTTTTTATTTCCTCTTATCATCGTCTAGTATTCTCTTTGTCCTTTGTATCGAGATGAACACAGGTAATGGAGAAATTACTTGATTATTAACACTAGAACTATTAAACTAGTTGATACGATTGATTTCAGATTTTCCATTTCGTAGTTAGCGGAAATATACAGAAGCTTTTGGTAAAATGAATGTTGATTTTTATCGAAGAAAAGCTTAATTATAGATAGGTATTTATTTTCGTCTTATTTTCATAGTATTTTGATTATTCTTATTTATGTTATAAGTTGGGAGTTCTAGAGTTAATGTTTGCCTGTTGATAAATAGGTAATTCTCCTGGTACACTGTGCGGATTACGACACGTGCGGATCCTCGTGCGCCAAACTTTTGATGTAATAGTTCAAAAATTTTAGGTATCAAAGTCGCATAGAGTTTTTCTATTTAAATACAGTTTTATTCGTAACGTGGTTTTTTGTATTTTAACGAGATTAATTCGATTTGAGGTGTCGCGTATAAACAAGCAGAGGAATTCTTAATGTTACCTAACGCAATGAAAAATGATTACTCGTGATGCGAGATATTTGTTAGTTTTCTTAGTTCGAAAGTTTATTAATGGATCGTTTTAAACAGGCGACATTTAGACGCGAATACTTGTTTAATCGGAACAGCACGAATTTCATTAAATTCCTTACATACCTTCACTCATAGTCTTTCATCGTTAAAAAACAAGATTCATTAAAGATCAATCCGACAAAATATTTATCAATGTCTAGTTTAAGCAAATTAATTTTCAACATCCGTTTTACTGTAAAAAGAATTTTTAAAGAACGAAAAACTGTTACTCCATTTCGAGGCTAAATCTAGTCTAGATTCACAAGCTACCATAATCCACTAATATTTACCTGGACTTTGTACTTTTTTGTTTCTAGTTTAAGGCACGTTTTTAATACTTTTACCGCAAAAACAGAAACAGAAGCAGACACGTGTCAACAATATCGTTGCTGTAGATATAAATTACATTCACATTGTAAATACAACGTTACCTTGATAAAATATGACACACAAGAATGGACCATAAAACTATACAGCGCGGTGCTAACGATAACAACTTGATTATTATAGCATACAGTGTTTACTGTATAGTTGCGATTAACCGTGATTCACCTTTTGTTATTCAATATCGCATTCGTTTATTACGGACAATATGTCACTTAAATCCTGTGTCATGTTACATAGCTATTATAGCATAAGATCGTATGATAACAACGATTTTTTATAACATAAACGCATTTTGTAAATTTTAATATAATATAAAATACGAACAATTTTTACGATTACGATTTTATTACCATAATGCATTAGGTCATGTTATATTACACGTTAAATATAGAACCGTTATAATTCTGTTTCTATTAACCTACGGAGCTTTTCACCGGGTGAATTCTTTGGCTCGTATTGCAGCAAGGATATTGCTTCTAGCAACAAACGTTTCCTATCTTCTCCTAAACAAGTAGACAATTCTCTCAATGCGACTACAGTATACAATGCCAATCTTACACCATAGGGATCCAATATTTTAACAGTTTCTATGATACGTTTGCATAATTCTGACTTTTTTGGATCGTCTGCAGGCAGTAATTGAATCAATGAATGACTGACAGTGATGCACTGTTGATGTCCAGGGTGCAACAATGTAGTGAGCCTAAAATTCAATAATTATAACAATTTCTGATATTTTCCATGTATCATTTGATAAGAAAATTTAGTCATATTTTCTATCCAATATAGAATAAATGAAGATCATTTTACCGAGATAAAAGATTAAGCATCTTATCCTTTTTCGCTTGACGCATAACATCATCGACATCCTCCTCCATTTTCTCAACAAATTGCGTTACTTCCGCTGCAGTAAGAATCCCAGGACACGAGTCGCATCCCCACTCAGAATCAAAATCTAGTGGATTCTTAGGTAAAATAAAGCCGTTGTCTTGGGGACATTTCAAGGAACCAAGATGCGTTCCTAATTCAGTTGGGTCGGCACATCGTTTGCAATGACAGGAAAAGTATTTCGTCTCCAAAAGATGAGCTCTTCGTTCCTTCGTTGCCCAAAGTGCATGCGTGTACATCGTACTCAAATGCTCCCCTCTAATGCATATATAAATACACGTATATGAAAGATATATATGTATATAAATAAGTCGTAAATAAAAAAGAATGGATAAACAAAATTTCGTTCACTAGAAGAACACAAGTTCCTAAAAAATTGTATTCTCTGTTATTCCCTATTTAATATTATTTAAATAACATTATTTACAAAATGCGACAATAATGTCATTGTAGAAATCAAACGAGAAAGAAAAGTCCATGATATGAGGTATATGTACTTTTTTATAGGACAGACAGCTATCACCATGATTCGAGGTCTACCCTTGTCATCGATTGTAAAACTGTGCCTCGTATTAGCTAAACAAGAATGCTCCAAAAGACACGCTATCTCATAAATCGCAACGGATCCCTCTGGTGGTATAGTGTCCAACGCGTTGACATCTATTATACCGCAAATTTTGCGTACAATATCCTTACTAGCTGAATCTGGTAAAATACGTTCGATATACTGAATTATATTCATCGTTTCTTCGTACGCTTCCGTTCCTGGACCACGAAGATTTTCGTGGCTCTGTAACTTTTCTAAGGAACTCCAACGTTTTGATTTTTTTCTCCATAATAACAACATACGTATTACTAAAAGGACATCGCTTCTATGAAAAGAGGAAAAAGAATAATTATGAATAAATTATACTATAATAAAAAAAGGATAAATATATATTGGTTCAAAAATTCATTCATTTCGTAATGAGAATAAATATTAAAAATATTAATTTCACTTTTTAAATAGATTAGAAGTATTTCATATGTGAGTTTACAAACCTAGGAATAATTCTTGATTTTATAAGAAAGAGACATTCCGAATCGTGGCTATTTTTATATGTAAGATTAGGACATTCGGTACCGCATGACGGCCAAAGACAGTTCATGCATATCGTACTACTAATGTTGCACCGCTTCCCGCAACCAATGCAAACTCTTTGATCTGAATGCAATGCCGGTCCCCAGACCAATGGCGACTCTGACACAATCACGTCGCCTGGATTCAAGTCCCTTGATGCCAACAAATGTCGTCCGAGTTCAGAGTTCTCACGAATCTCCCACGCTTGACAAGCCGACCTATGTCGAGGCCAATCCCGTCGCTGATGCTCTTTCTTGCAGTAAAATTGTTGTTTACAACCACTACATTTTAGCGTCGCACGTTTATTACAAATCGGACAGATGCCTTCCATTTGAGATTCTATTATTTCTTAGTCGTCAAACTTTCAATCGTTATTTTGAAATCAGATCTCTGCTTTCCACTGATCACTTAAATATGAAAAATGCTTCAGTATTTGAAAAGAGTGAATATACTTTGTAACAAATGGATTATGTTAATCAGTTTATATATTTCCTTTGGTCATATTAGGAACAATATACATAATACATTAAATGTTTTTCAAATAAGTATTGGAACAATAAATAAGTGATTATACTGTCAAGTGATTACATTTAAAACTAAATTAAACCTCTATTTTAGAGAAATTTATTATACATACCTGGTAAGAAAGTATAGGTAGATAGCAGAAATCAAATTAAAAGAAGTACGATACATTTTTAGTTTGTAATAAATATTTTATTAATTTTTCAATTTTTATATGGAACAAAAAATCAACGTGTAAAGTAATGGGGCTAACAATATCACTACTGTAAAACACCGACATTACAGCTCTAAAACCACGACGGTCTACACACTGGTGGTTTAATTATAGGAACGGTACAGTTACGTAGACGTTCCTATTTCTGACAAAACTATAGGACATTATTATTCAATATAATACAAATTTATCATAGCTCTGAGTTACATATAATTTATTGTCTGGTGTATTTAAAAAAAAGAAAAAAAAGTTCGCCAATTGAAATCGAAAAATCTGTTATTTTGCCTATATAGATATCAAATATCCATGAAAGAATGCATTACGAAAAATGTAGTTTCTTACAATATCTTTTATTTACGATAAATTTAGCACCTTTGATATTAATTCTAAAGATAATTTAAATACTGTATTTATAAAAGTTTTTTGTGACAGATATTTATAATTATATTATACGATATTAAACTTATAGAATGTGCACCTTTTTATAAAAAGAAAAAATATAAAAAGTACTCATAATAAAGCAATATCGAAAAATAATCTCATCAACTTAATATAAAATGGATTATAGACAATATGTACAAATATCAATACATATAATTTTCTTTCTACTTTTGTGCTAATCATTCTTTAATGGCATAACATTAAGAGCCTCCTTTAAGAATCTAAATAATCATACTCTCTATTTATAACAAATATAAATATTATGGATCACTTCATACATAGCCTCTTATTGATTAATTCTCGCAAACGTTCAATATCCACTCAATTGTACTTTATTTAACTGCATAAAGAATAGCATTATTATTAATGTATTTTAATAGCACGTATGGTACATACATATGCATATACATGCTATAAAAATTTAATAAGTAGTCTGATCATGGCCATCGTATTAATCAGTTATTTTGGTCGTGCGTAATTACTTCTTATTACTTCAACATATGAAATCGCGTAAAATTAGAAACGAATAGTCACGATCAGACAAGAATAATAATTGCTAAAATAGATTCACGAATAAAATCTCTTCGCTTATCTTTAATTTTAGTAAAAAATATATACGAATCAAAGATGGAAAAACTATATCTCTACACAGTACTTATATTTCTACACAGTACTGCACTATTCCATTTTTTATTTTTCCAAGACCCATATCAAAAGTTATGAAATAAACAATTATGCAGAGTTTTATATTGAATCAGCTTTTAGCCCTATTACTTGCATTTTATTTAGGATTTTAACCTTATAACTTTCATAAATTTGTTATTTCAATTAACAAAATACATAAACGCAGTAAAAAAAGGAAAAATATAGTTGTCGTAATATAAACATTAATATTCACATTCAATTAATTTTAAATCTTTGTTATCTATAAAATTTACTAGCATAACTGAATTTTGTGACATATTTATTTGTGAAGATGGAAACGATACCTTTTCGTGATAATAAAAAGACAAATAACTTGTCTGAAACTAAATAAAAAAGAAATGACAATAAAAGAAGATTTGCATGAGATTTGTACAAATTCAATATTATAATAACATAACATTTGTCTAGCTAAAATTTCTTTTGGAAGGCAAAGTTCAAGTGAACCATTGTGGATTTCATGAAGATTAGAAACATATAAATAAATCGTAAAAATTCATTTTAATAGCGGAAATTTTACTAATTATAATAATAATCTTACTTTCAAAAATAAATACTTCAATTAATTTTTTTTCTTTGTTATTTAATTTTGTTATTTAAATAGTATAAAGAGAATCGTCAAATAAAATTAATATTCTCAAAAATCTATCATCAAATAAATATAAAATTGAAGCAACTAATAAATTGGCTAGTGTTTCTTCTTTGTGCTATTTTTTACACTGCCGTTCGCATTACGCCACGATTTACGGAAGCAAATTGAAGATCGTACCAAATGCCATATATCTCTTCCCGTACATGCTAAATTATAAATAATTAGAGATGGTGATTCATACTCGTTTGGAACGATACCATCGACAGATGATTCGAAAAAACTAAATAGTGGAAACCAAATCCTGGTTCTATTTGAATCACGTTGCATCAACGCTTGATTGTTTGCTAAGGTATGATAATAAAGAAACAATCGAGAGGTAATATAGAAAGCTACAAAAACATCAATGGAATAATGTTCATGTGCTGCTAAGATAAAAAATATACCAAACATATTGAGCATCCATGTAAAAGTATGTAAGAAATACAATTGTCTTGGTGTATCTGTAAATAACATGTAATTAAAAATTATAGATTAATATTATCTGTTTAGAAACATGTTTAAAAACATGATACTTACATTCAGTAATGAAAAAATTTAACATAGTTAATGCAACAGTATGTCCACTAAACATATAGTCACCACATGTTCTAACACCTTGAATCGACATACCCGCACCACGCCATATAACATAAGCCATAGCAATTTTATTGTATAACTCTATATATGTAGAACTATAAAATAAAAATATTAATGTAATGTTCATTCATAATAATTATTTCAAATAATAATTATAACTTATACCTTGTCCAATCTTCTGGAACCTTACGTGGTTGACATTGTAAATGTGCACCTGGTACTGACAAGGAAGTAATAAGCATTGTAACACATCTTAGCAGGAAGACTGTACCAGATAAAGCAAAAAATCTCCTTAATAAAATAAATCTGTAAATAAACATTTTCTTAATATTTCTATAATAGTTTATTTTACAATCAATCTCATTAATAACATTTACAATACATAATACCTGTACTTGTGAAAAATTAGTACAATGAGCCATATTGCAAAAAGTATAGTTCCCGTAACTTCACACACATCAAATGCCCAAGAAATGTGTGGAACATTATCTAAAAATATATCAGGTAATGGAGGATATTTTTTCATATCAGGCACTCTATCATGAACAATGACCATTACAAAGGCAGTAATCCATGTCACAATAAATAAATATGCCAAACTAATGAAAGTTTTCCAAATTTCAGGTGGTAAATGTGATGCATGACCATTTTCTGATACAGATGCTGAATAAAATTCATGCTCAATAGAATTGTCATTATTTATACCACTACTAGGCATCTGTTAAAAATTTGCACTATTAATTTAATTTTGAATTATGTTATTTATTATTGTATTTTTTATATTAAAAAGAATATATATTTAAGAATTTTGAATACTAAGTATTTAAAACTTTCCTTCTTACTTCATGTTTATGATGACTATATAAATTTGATGAAGGAAATATATCAACATATCCTAATTCAAATAATATTGCCATATTATCCCTTTGTAATTGTTTTATGCTAATATATAATCTTTTTATATCACCAATTTTCTTTATATCCATAGCTATTAACTTTAAATCATCTTCTTTCAGAGTCAAGAGTACTTTTCCATCAATTTCATGATCAACGAATAAATTAACAAATTTTTCGTGTCCAGTTTCACTAAGCCACTTTGTCACATCATTTTGTGTCCACTCAATTATATTTTTTTCAGGCATCATTTATCTTAATAGAAAGTTGTACTAGTCCTGTCTAGAAAAAAATATAAATGTTTTAATAACAGTTAATATTATGACTATTATGGAATATAAAATCACTAACAATTATGCCCATAGAATAAAATGTATTATAAAATTACACTTATATTTAAAAAATATAAGAATATTACATAACTTTTAATTACTAATTATATAAATGATGATATTAATGATAAAAATAGTTTCAATATAGTAATAAGCATATTTACAATATTAAAATTATTGGTATAATAGAATATCATAACAAAAAGTATATTCTCATATAAATTTTTCATTATAAAACTTACTGTATTCTTTTATAAACAATTATTTAAATCATTTACATTTAAAAATATATTTAACCTTACCGCTAAATATTATTTACTCACCTTAGAAATTTAATATATGGATTATCAAAGCTATATATCACAATTTTTTCGTGCGTTTATTGTACATAATGAACGTGTATCATGAATATCATAGTCTTATTGTCAAACGAAACCATGCATTGGCAGTATTTGTAAATAAACCAATCCAGACAGAACCATTGATCAGAATGTCACGGGCACAGTCTGACACGTTCATCACTCACTTCTTTAGTTTGCAGCATGATGTATATACCTTGATAAACTTCATAGTTACTTAATATCAATTCTGAATTATCCTGATTAATAATTAGTATTATTAAATTAATTCAAACGTTAAATGATAGACATTTTATACATTTTATGCATCAAAGTTAAATGTAATCGAAATAAGTTAAAATAACTTTAAAATAAAATGCTGAGGAAAATAAAACAAATTGCTTTAATTTTATTTTTCACAAATATACATGAAGATACAGAATGCTATTTTTTTGATTAAATATTTTAATTTTTAATTATACACAAAATATATATAGTAACTTTTTGTTTTCACAGTTCGTAGAAACAATTTTTCGATACAGTACTATTCAGTAGGTAACTAACAATTTATAAATTAATATTAAATAGAATATTCAGTATATTTCTACATAACTCTTCTCTGATACCATAGTTTCTATAACACATTCTTGCTATAATTTTAACTTACAATTAGATTATATTAAACTTAGAGGAATAATATACCAAAAAATAGTGATTTTTTTCTTCATACACTTATATTTATAAAATCGACATATCTTATTATCGATTTCATATCGATTTAAGATTTGTTCACAGTTAATATTCGCATGACGTTGGCATTAATGACGTTGTTCACGGTCAAGGTACAATAGAGTTTCAAAACTATTGTATTATCATGCAATGGGGTGTTCTAAATTCATCTAGAGACAGTAAAGTAGTCTATAATTGTACAGTACAGACAACGTATCGTTTGTTAACAAGTTCAATCATTGTGACTTTCAATATATTTCTCATTTCTCTTTCATTAGCTATAAACGTAACTGATAACGCCAATTGCACGTCAGACCTGAACTAATAACATTGAATGCTGAGTTGGCAGTCTTGATGGCAATAACTCTGTAACTGTACTATATATTGAATGGTATCGTGAATTCAAAGTGGAGTGTAGTAATGTATGTACTTAAACGATATACTTAGAGATTATTACTTAATGAGCTATGAGCGGCCAAAAATTTCAATACGACGAAAGTGGTGGGACGTTTTTCTACTTTTTACTATCATTCTCGGCACTTCTTCAAATACCCGTGACATACTATTTTTGGCCACGTTGTCCAAAACAAGGTTAGTTCTAGATGAATCTATTTAGATTAACATAGAAAATAAATGATATGACAACATTTCATAATTATACTTCATTTCTATTGATTTACATAACGTTACTACGTTTTACACTTATGCTCTTCATTATCTAACTCACTTCATAATGTTGTGACGGTACACTAAATAGCACTTAATTGTGAATATCCCGTTACTAATTTCCTAATAACCTCAATAACGGAGTATAATATTTTGAAAACTTATATTTTAATAAAACATTCAATGTTTATTGATATATTAATTTCTTATTTCAAATTCAATAATATATTTGCAGAAGTATTTAATTCAAATACTTACAAAATTTTGTTTTTGAGATAAATTTTTAAATTCGTAATATGTTTTTAAATTAAAAAGTGTGTAGATAAATTTATCATAACTTAAAATTTGTTGTAAACAAGCAATATTCGTGTATAGTTTATTTAATATATAATACATAGGTAATATTTTTTATTCTTAACAATTCGACATTATTATTGTTACTTCAAATATGGTTTTATTGGTTTAAAATTTTTATTGTATTTTGTTTGCTAATAATGTTAGAATTTAGTATTCCAGAAACTTATCTTTTATTACTTTGTTAATTATAATTTTTTTAATTAATCATGTAATTTATATTTATTATTTCTACAAAATATTATAATTAAAGTATTTTGATTTGGTTTTTAAAACAGTATAAGATCATTTTGCTTATGGCATATACATAAGTAGTATTCATAAGAGTAAAATTTATATTATGCATAATTATTATTTATTATTAGATCCTGATCAAGAGGCCAAAGAGTGTCAGTGTGATGGGTGTAAAAAGAAGAAAATTATCCTACGACTCAATAAACCTTGGAAAGAAACTAAGGCATTATTGGAGTAAGTAGTTAATATGTATAAATATTTAAATATATATTTTGGATTTTTAAAATGTTTCTATATCATTGTAGAAAATTTTGTATTATTCTTGGATGGGTAGTCTTTATTTTTTTGACATATAAGGTGTCACAATTTGACTATGAAATGGCTAATTTTGATCCATTTGAAATACTTGGTGTATCCTCTGTAAGTACAATCAATTTATTTAAAAACAATTTTTTTATCTGATAATGAATACAATATTATTATTTACAGAGCTCATCTCAAAGTGACATTAAAAGAGCATATCGCAAACTGTCTTTAATTCTTCATCCTGACAAAGAAACTGGAAATGAGAAAGCTTTTATGAGGTTAACTAAAGGTTAGAATAAATATAAAATTACATAAAATGCATTAATTACTAAAAAAAAAAATGCTACTAGAAATAATGTGTATACATCATACATTTTCTAAATATTATAAAAATGATAGAAATTGTAAATAGTAAGTTTAGTTCCTATCAAACAGATGACAACATTATTTATCTTTACATTAATAAATAGCTTACCAAGCATTAACTGACGAAGAAGCACGTAAAAATTGGGAGAAGTATGGCAATCCAGATGGACCAGGAGCAATGAGCTTTGGCATTGCTTTACCTTCTTGGATAGTTGAAAAAGAAAATTCAGTATGGGTTTTAGGATTCTATTCACTGGTCTTCATGTTTGTTTTACCAACAGCTGTTGGAATGTGGTGGTATAAGAGTATTCGTTATACTGGTGATCAAGTAAATGCATCTAATTTGTAATATATATATGTGTAATGAAATATTAGTTAAGTATATGTAAATCAACTGTAATCTATTACTTTTTAGGTATTGCTAGCTACTACTCAGATATATTATGTTTCTTTTATTAACTATCCTTCCATGTCATTAAAAAGAGTCATTATGATTCTTGCAGCTTCTTTGGAATTTTATAAAAAACGAAATGCAGAAATAGTTGAGAGATACACAGATAGTGAAGAAGTTTATTCGGTAAGATATATATTATAGTACCTTAGCATTTTTTACTATTCAAATTACAATGAATAGAATACACTTTATTGAAATATGATTTCTATTTCATTAAATTCAATATAATTTTCATCTTATATCAAAAGTAAAACAAATTACGTATAGTTTGTATTTTGTATTTTAAAATAAAAGATTTCTTTATATGAGGAAATCGATTGCTTTAAATAATTCTAAATTTTGTATTTCTTTGTATTTTTAGCTTATTAAGCAACTGCCAGATCTAGGTGCAAAAAACAAGGCAACACCATTATGTGAGCCATATTCAATTAAAGCCAGAGCTTTAATTCATGCACATTTATTTCGCATACCACTAAATCCAGAAACGTTAGAGAAAGATAGACAATATATCGTAAAAAAATGTCCATATTTGATTCAAGAAATGGTAACTTGTATTAATCGAGTAATTTTATTAGCTTATGCTAGAAGAGGTACATATGCATTTACTTTATAAGTTCTCCGACCTTCTCGACATTTTTCTAAATCTGAGATATACTAAAAGACATTCTATAATAGCAATACACGTTTAAATTTAACATTCGAACGTTATTTGATAAATTTTTTATTTTTAGTTCCACGTTTACCAACTATAAAAACTGTAGAAAATTGTATGAAACTGAGTGCAATGATAGTACAAGGCTTCTGGGAATTTAAAAATCCTCTTTTACAATTACCATATATAACTGAAGATAATTTAAAATGTTTCTTACCGAAAAAGGTATCAACCACTTATTATACTACTTCAAATACTTTAATTTAGATATAAGATATCTATATTTTATTATATATTATAATTAGAAACTTAACTAGATTTGTATTATTAGCATCAAATCAAAAGTCTTCAACAATTTGCACAATTAAAAGGAGAAGAAAGAAGACTGATTCTTAGACATTTATCAGACAGTCAGTATGAAGATGTAATGAAAGTTCTTGGAAATATGCCATATGTAGAATTCAAAGTACGATCTGAAGGTAAAGATTATTCAATATCTCCTATACTAGTATATTTTGTGTTTGCATTTAAATAGTTTTTAAAGTAAAATGTTATGTTTTATGATCTTAGTAATTGATGATGAAAATCCAACTGTTTATACTGCTGGTGCTATTGTAACTGTAACAATATCATTAACTCGTAAAGATATGAAACATTTATTTGGAGATAATACTATCAAAGAGCAAACCACAATTGATGATAATAAAATTAATAATGAAGCTCCTGACGAAGTATCAGAAGAACAGAACCAATCTGTAAAAAAACCAGCGTGGCTTAGGCAAAAAAAGGGACAAAAAAAGTCCCACAAAAAAGGTACTACTAAAAAATTTGCTTATACAAAGAATACTCAGACACAATTTCAGTCTAGCAATAATGCTCAACAAATAAATACTCCTAATGCAAAAAAGAAAGAAGATAAAGTAGAAAAAGAGTCTTCCAAAGATAAATTATCCGATGTCAGTGATAGTGATGTTGATAGTGACAGAAGTAATGATGAAGATAGAGATGAAAAAAAAGATGTGTCTATTGATGATGATGATACAGAATGGGAAAGGTAAAATATTTTTTTATAAGTTAATATAAGTAATGTTAATTTCTGTTATGTAATGATATTTTTATCAACAGGTTTCAACAAAGAATCTCAAAGAGAGAAAAAGTTTTAGAAGGGAGGAGTAATATATCACATGAAGTGCATTGCCCACTCT